AACCTATCAAGACCTTAGGATACAGCAAAGGTGATGCTAACAGGAAAGTTCATAGCCCTAACCACCTACATCAAAAACACTGAAAAAGCACAAAATAACATTCTGAGGTTATACCTCAAGGAACTAGAGAAACAAGAACAAACCAAACCCAAACCCAGCAGAAGAAAGGAAATTGGAAATTACCAAGATCGGAGAAGAACTAAATGAAATTGAAACAAACAAACAACAACAACAACAAAAACAAAACAAAAAAGAAAGTAAAAGCTGGTTCTTTGAAAAGATAAATAATGAGAGCAGTGGCTCATGCCTGTAATCCCAGCACTTTGGGAGGCTGAGGCATGCGGATCACCTGAGGTTGGGAGTTCAAGACCAGCCTGACCAACATGGTGAAACCCCATCTCCACTAAAAATGCACAGTTAGCCAGGCATGGTGGCACATGCCTGTAATCCTAGCTACTCAGGAGGCCAAGGCAGCAGAATTGCTCGAACCCAGAAGGCAGAGGTTGCAGTGAGCCAAGATTGCACCATTGCACTCCAGCTTGGGCAACAAGAGTGAAACTCTGTCTCTAGAAGAAAAAAAAAAAAGATAAGGCCAGACATGGTAGATTATGCCTTTAATACCAGCACTTTGGGAGGCCGAGGCAGGCGGATCATAAGGTCAAGAGATTGAGCTCATCCTGGCCAACATGATGAAACCCTGTCTCTACTAAAATACAAAAATCAGCTGGGGGTGGTAGCATGTGCCTGTAGTCCCAGCTACTTGGGAGGCTGAGGTAGAAGAATTGCTTGAACCCGGAGGCAGAGGTTGCAGTGAGCAAAGATCACGCCACTGCACTCAAGCCTGGCACCTGGCAACAAAGCAAGACTCTGTCTCAAAAAAAAAATAAATAAAAATAAAAATATAAGATAAAATTGATAGATCATTAGCAAGATTAACCAAGAAAAGAAGAGAGAAAATCCAAATGACCTCACTAAGAAACAACACAGGAGATATTACAACTGAAATACAAAAGATCATTTAAGGCTACTATGAGCACCTTTACACACATAAAGTAGAAAACCTAGAAGAGATGGATAAATTCCTGGAAAAATACAATCCTCCTAGCTTAAATGAGGAAGAATTAGATACCCTGAATAGACCAATAGTAAGCAGCAAGATTGGAATGGTAATTAAGAAATTACCAAGAAAAAAGGTCCAGGACCAGATGGATTCACAGCAGAATTCTACCAGACATTCAAAGAAGAATCGATACCAATCTTTTTGACACTATTCCACAAGATAAAGAAAGAAAGAACCCTCCCTAATTCATTTTATGAAGCCAACATCCCCCTAATACCAAAACCAGGACAGGACATACAAAAAAAGAAAACTACAGACTGATATCCTTGATGAACATTGATGCTAAAATTCTTAACAAAATACTAGCTAACAGAATCCAACAGTATGTTAAAAAGATAATCCACCATGATCGAGTGGGTTTCATACCAGGGATGCAGGGTGGTTTAATATACATGAGTCAATAACTGTCATTCACCACATAAACAAAATGGAAAACAAAAATCAAATGATCATCTTAATAGATGCAGAAAAAGAATTTGACAAAATCCAGCATCACTTTATGATTAAAACTTTCAGCAAAATCAGCATACAAAGGACATATCTTAATGTAATAAAAGCCATCTATGACAGAGTCACAGCCAACATAATAGTGAATGGGGAAAGTTGAAAGCATTCCTTCTGAGAACTGAAGTAAGACAAGGATGCCCACTCTCACCCCTGCTCTTCAACATAGTACTGGAAGTCCTAGCCAGAGCAATCAGGCAAGAGAAAGAAATAAAAGGCATCCAAATTGGTAATGAGGAAGTCAAACTGTCACAGTTTGCTGATAATATGATTGTTTAACTCAAAAATCTTAAGAACTCCTCCAGAAAGCTCCTAGAACTGATTTAAAAATTCAGCAGTTACCAGATACAAGATTAATGTACACACATCTGTAGCTCTTCTACATACCTATAGTGACCAAGCAGAGAATCAAATCAAGAACTCAACCCCTTTTACAAAAGCTCCAAAAAAAAAGATACCTAGGAATATACCTAACCAAGGAATTGAAAGACCTCTATGAGGAAAACTACAAAACTCTGCTGATAGAAATCATAGACAACACAAACAAATGGAAACACATCAAATGCTCATGGATAGGTAGAATCAATATTGTGAAAATGGCCATACTGCCAAAAGCAAAAACAAATTTAACACAATCCTCATCAAAATGCCACCTTCATTCTTCACGTAATTAGATAAAATAATCTTACAATTTATGTGGAACCAAAAAGGAGCCCACATAGCCAAAGCAAGACTAAACAAAAAGAACAAATCTGGAGGCATCATAATACCTGATTTCAAACTATACTATAAGGCCATAGTCACCAAAAAAGAGTGGTACTTGTATAAAAATGTGCACATAGACCAATGGAACAGAATAGATAACCCAGAAATAAACCCAAACACACACAACTAACTGATCTTTGACAAAGCAAACAGAAACATAAAGTGGGTAAAGGACACCCTTTTCAACAAATGGTGCTGGGATAATTGGCAAGCCGTGTGTAGGAGAATGAAACTGGATCCTCATCTTTCACCTTATACAAAAATCAACTGAAGATGTATTAAGGACTTAGACCTGAAACTCTAAAAATTCTGGAAGACAACATTGGTAAAATCCTTCCAGACATTGGCTTAGGCAAGAATTTCATGACCAAGAACCCAAAAGCAAGTGCAATAAAAACAAAGATAAATAGCTGGGACCTAATTAAACTAAAGAACTTTTACATGGCAAAAGGAACAGTCAGCAGAGTAAACAGACAACCCACAGAGTGGGAGAAAATCTTCACAATCTATACATCTAACAAAGGACTAATATCCTGAATCTACAGTAAACTCAAACAAATCATTAAGAAAAAATAAACAGTCCCATCAATAAACTGGGCTAAGGACATGAATAGACAATTCTCAAAAGAAGATATACAAATGGCCAACAAACATATGAAAAAAATGCTCAACATCACTAACAATCAGGGAAATGCAAATCAAAACCACTATGCGATACCACCTTACTCCTGCAAGAATGACCACAATAAAAAAATTATCATAATAAAAAAATTAAAAAACAGTAGATGTTGGCTTGGATGTGGTGAACAGGGAACACTTCTACACTGCTGGTGTAGTACAGCTGCTATGGAAAAGAGTGTGGAGATTCCTTAAAGAACTAAAAGTAGAACTGCCATTTGATCCAGCAATCCCACTACTGGGTATCTACCCAGAGGAAAATAAGTCATTATTTGAAAAAGATACTTGCACACACGTTTATAGTGGCACAGTCCACAATAGCAAAGTCATGGAACCAACCCAAATGCCCATCAATCAATGCATGGATAAAGAAACTGTGGTATCTATATCTATATGATGGAATACTATGCAGCCATAAAAAGGAATAAATTAACAGCATTTGCAGTAACCTGGATGAGACTGGATACTATTATTCTAAGTGAAGAAACTCAAGAATGGAAAACCAAACGTCATGTCTTCTTACTGATATGTGGGACCAAAGCTATTAGGACACAAAGGCATAATAATGATACAATGGACTTTGGGGACATTAGAGGAAAATTGGGAGGGCAGTGAGGGATAAAAGAATACAAATATGGTGCAGTGTATACTGCTCAGATGAAGAGTACACCAAAATGTCACAAATCACCACTAAAGGACTTACTTATGTAACCAAATACTACCTGTACCCCCAATAACTTATGGAAAAATAAAAAATAAAACTATAATTAAATAAAAACTTTAAAAAAAAAAGAAAAATGGAATAGCCATCAGGAAAGGGTTTCTAGAAATATCTACTAAAATTTCAGATGCATTTACCTTTGATTTATTTAGAGGATTCTCATAATATACATATTATGAATATGTTCTGAGAAATGTATTATTAGGAGATTTAGTCATTGGGTGAATTTGCAGAGTGTACCTACACAAACCTAGAAGAAAGTTAGGTTAGCCTATTGCTCCTAGGCTACAAGCCTGTAACACGTTACTGTAATGAATACCATAGGCAATTTTAACACTATCTAAGTATTTGTGTATCTAAACATAGAAAAGTTACAGTAAAAAATATAGTATTGTAATCTTATGTGATGGCCATAGTATATGCAGTTGATCATTGACCAAAACATTTTATGCAGTTTTTTGCATGACTGTATGTTAGATAAATAGATAGTATCTGTGCTAATATGATAGTTGTACAAACAATTGTAATTTTTTTGTTTATAAAGCAAAAAATTAGAACACAAGTATCCAGCAGTAGGGGACTGGTTGAATAAATCCCAGTATATCTATACAATGGAAAACTATGCATCTGCAAAAAAGAAAAAGGAATATTCTATCTAGTACTGACTTGGAAACATCTCCAGAATAGTGTCTCACTCTGTCACACCATCTCTGCTTACTGCAACCTCCACCTCCTGGGCTCAAGTGATTCTCCCATGTCAGCCTCCTGATGTGGGCTACCACATCCTGCTAATTTTAAAATTATTTTGTAGAGATGAGCTCTCACTCTATTGCTCAGGCTGGTCTTGAACTCCTGGGCTCAAGCAGTCCTCCCATTTCGAAGTGCTGGGATGGTTTACAAGTGTAAGCCACTGTGCCCAGACTTTCCAGAATAATTTTTTTTTTTTTTAAGATAGAGTTTCGTTCTTGTTGCCCATGCTGGAGTGCAGTCGTGCGATCTCAGCTCACTGTAACCTCAAACTCCCGGGTTCAGGTGATTCTCCTGCCTCAGCCTCCCAAGTAGCTGGGATTACAGGGATGTGCCACCACGCCTGGCTAATTTTTGTATTTTTAGTAGAGATGGGGTTTCACCATGTTGGTCAGGCTGGTCTTGAACTCCTGACCTCAGGTGATCTGTCTGCCTCGCCCTCCCAAAGTGCTGCGATTACAGGCGTGGGCCACATGCCCAGTCCAGAGTAAATTTTTATGTTACAACAAAAGCAAAGAATAAAACAGTGTATATTCTAGACTATTTTTATGTAAGAAAGGAGAAAAAAGAATACATTTATATTTGCATAAAGAAATGCTAGGAGGAATACATGAATACAAATATACATGAATACAAACGTTAAACTACAGGAACTAGAGAGAAAACGGAAAGGCAAAAACAGGAATGAGACTTCTATGTCTTTTCTTAAACATATTTTTATATTTGAATCAAAGTATGAAAGTGAATAAAAATAGAATATTTTCTTAGAACTTGGTGCCAAGTTTTAGAGCAAAGATATCTGAATAAACTTCAGCAAAGTAACATGGTTTAGATTACTACACAGGGAAATTGCCAGTAGTTTACAGCTGATTTGCCAACTTTTTATTAGGGTATTTTATTTTTTAGTGAAACTTGAGAACTCAAAAAATCTTGATGAAATTCCTTACATCAGACACTGAGAACACAGAACAGAAGTTCTTGCTCTCAAAGAGTTCAAATCAGGGAGACAAAACCATAAACATGATTGTAAGGCACAAGAACATTAAGAGCTATACACAAGGTGTAATGTGATTAACTACTTTTATTTGCCAAGGAAGGCTTCCTAGAAGAGATGAGAGCCAAGCTAGAACTACAGGATGACTAGGAGCCTGAAGGTGATCCTGGAAACAGGAGACATTTCAAGCACAGGGAACAGCATGTGCCATGGTGTTTAGGGAACTATAAAGTTCAGTGTTGCTTTTTTCCTACCCCCCACAGGATAAAGTGAGACAGGAAAAATGCGGGTGATTCCGGAAGATTAAAACAACTCCAGGCAGCGTTTCACATGACTAGAGGCTATGGGCTGATAAAACCCTGAAAAACAAAATGTGGACCAAGCTGGCTAAGACTGACTGAACCCAACCTGGCACTGGATTTGACCTACATTTCACAAATAGGACCTTACTATACATGCATTAACATACTAAATCACACCCCCCCTCAGTGCCATGACAGTTCCAAGAACACCCATATTTAGTATAAAAATGGGTGGCATCACAGTTCCTAGAAATATCTACCTTTTTCCAGGAATTTTCATGAATACTCAACCCCTTGGTTAAAGAAACCCATAAAGGTAACAGCCCCAAACCTCCTTGTGGGTGACTCTCTCTTGAGTACCCCGGAACTCCTTTTATTGAGGGTGTTCTTTTCCCTTTGCAATTAATCTCTGTAACCTTCACTATTTTCTGACTTGTCCTTGAATTAATTCTTGTGATGGTGTCAAGAGCCTGCACAGTGGCTGCAGTCAAGGTTCCACCGGCATTTTCGGACCCCCCACCCCACCAAGCCCACTGGTATCGAAAGTACCAATTTGTTAGCCTCAAAGCAACTTTTCACAACTTGGCTTTCTTTTCATCCTCATTTCTTACCACTCTGGAGGCCTAGAAGTTTGCTGGCATACAAAATTTCACAGATAGGGAAGCCTTTGGTCCAGAGAAGCTCCAAAGAGTGGCCCCTTGGAATTGTGGATGTCAAGGATTTCTGAAGTGGGAGCACTGGCTGAGCTAATTAAAGAGTGGTGGCAAGAGTTTGGGGTAGAGAGCAAAACTGTGACCCAGGTATGTTATACCTCATAAATATTGGAAAGCAAGGACCATGTAAATATAACTTCGTTTACCAAGTAAGTATTGTGTTCCAAGCACTGTCCTCAGATCTTTTAAATAGATAAATGATATTATACCTTTGCTTAAAGTCATTGCCTCTCATTACATTTAAATGGAAGTAATGAAACTGTGCCCCAAAGACTTAAACCAGTAACTAACAGAAATTCTTGAGTTTGCAGGATGGCAGATGAGAAACAACTTGCTGAAACACTGAAAATCCCTCCACTTGTAAGATAATGAAGCCAGCTGATATCAGTTGGAACCAATATGACCAATTGGAGTCTGCACAGAATGAGCCTGCTGACGTCACTGTCTGAATTTCCACTGCATGTTTCATGTGAACCCACCCTTGAATATGCACATGGGACCCATGAGTTAGCATGAAGAGGTAAATGCACATGCCTGAGGACTTTCAAGACCTCACCTTTCCTTCCACCAATCACCTGCTAATCCCAGAATCCTCCCCCTAAATCTTTTTAAATAAAATGACTGCCTTAAATTCAGCACAAGGAGAAAGATTTGCACTTGACTTTTGTCACTTGTGAGTCAATTTGCAATACAAAGCTTTTCTCAAAAACCAGATGTCATATTATTGGCTTCTAGCACATTGGGTAGCAAGCCCCCTTTGCTCAATAACAGTAAAACTCCTTAATATGGTCTTTGAAATGGTTTGGCTGTGTCCCCATCCAAATGTGATCTTGCATTGTAGTTCCCATAATCCCTACATGTCATGGGAGAGACCCCGTGGCAGGTAATTGAGTCATGAGTCATGGGGGTGGCTACCCCCATGACTATTCTCTTGATAGTGGGTGAGTTCTCACAAGATCTTATGGTTTTACAAGGGGCTTTTCCCTCTTTGTTCAGCACTTCTCCTTTCTGCTACCATATGAAGAGGAATGTGTTTGCTTCCCCTTCCACCATGATTGTGTTTTCTGAGGCCTCCCCAGCCCTGCAGAACTGTGAGTCAATTAAACCTTTTTCCCTTATAAATTACCTAGTCTCAAGTATTTCTTCACAGCAGTGTGAGAAAGGACTAATATAGTAAACTGGTACCAGTAGAGTGGCCTGCTGCTATAAGAATACCTAAAAATGTGGAAGTGACTTTGAAATTGTATAAGAGGCAGAGGTTGGAACAGTTTAGAGGGCTCCAAAGAAGACAGGAAAATATGGGAAAGTTCGGGGCTTCCCAGAAACTTGGAAGGCTCAGAAGACAAGAAGATGTGGGAATGTTTGGAACTTCCCAGAGACTTATTGAATGGCTTTGACCAAAATACTGAGAGTGATATGGACAATGAAGTCAAGGCTGAGGTGGTCTCAGAAGGAGATAAGAAACTTGTTGGGAATTAGAGGGAATTGCTATGCTTCAGCAAAGACTCAGGTGGCATTTTGCACCTGCGCTAGAGATCTGTGGCACTTTGAACATGGGAGAGATGATGTAGGGTATCTGGCAGAAGAAATTTCTAAGTGGCAAAGTGTTCAAAAGGAAGTAGAGGATAAAAGTTTGGAAAATTTGCAGCCTGACAATGTGATAGAAAAGAAAAACCCATTTTCTGGGGAAACATTTAAGCCTGTTGCAGAAATTTGCATAAGTAATGAGAGGCCAAATGTTAATCCCCAAGACAATGGGGAAAATGTCTCCAGGGTATGTCAAAGACCTTCACAGCAGCCCCTCCCATCACAGGCCTGGAAGCCAAGGAGGAAAAAATGGTTTCATGGGCTGAGTCCAGGTCCTCCCTGTTGTATGCAGATTCAGGACTTGGTGCCCCCCATCCCAGCTATGGCTAAAAGGGGCCAAGATACATTTTTGGCCATGGCTTCAATGAGTGCAAGCTCCAAGCCTTTGAAACTTCCACAGTGTTGAGCCTGCAGGTGCACAGAAGTGGTTTGGGAACCTCTGCCTAGATTCAGAAGATGCCTGGATGTCCAGGCAGAAGTGTGCTGCAGGAATGGAGCCCTTGTGGAGAAATTCTGTAGAGCAGTGCAGAAGGGAAATGTGGGGTGGGAGCCCCCACACTGAGTCTCCACTGGGGCATTGCATAGTGGAGCTGTGAAAAGATGACCACTGTCATCCAGAGCCTGGAATGGTAGATCCACAGATAGCTTGCACCCTGCACCTGGAAAAGCTACAGATAATCAACAGCAGCCCCTAAAAGCAGCCAGGAGGGGGTTATACTCTGCAAAGCTACAGGAGCTGAGCTGCCCAAGACCATGGGAACCCACCTCTTGTATCAGTGTGACCTGGATGTGAGACATGGAGTCAAAGGAGATCATTTTAGGGCTTTAATGTTTGACTGCTCCACTGGGTTTCAGACTTGCATGGGGTCTGTAGCCCCTTTGTTTTAGCCAATTTCTCCCATTTTGGATAGGTATATTTACCCAATGTTTGTACCCCACAGTAACTAGGAAGTAACTGTCTTACTTTTGATTTTACAGGCTCAGAGGTGAAAGGGATTTTCCTTATCGCAGATGAGACTTTGGACTTGGACTTTTGGGTTAATAGTAGAATGAGTTAAGATTTGGGGGGACTGTTGGGAAGGCATGATTGTGTTTTGAATGTGACTACATGAGATTTTGGAGATGCAAAGGGTAGAATGATATGGTTTGGCTGTGTCTCCACCCAAATGTCATCTTGAATTGTAGTTCCCATAATCTCCACATGTTGTGGGAGGTAACTGAATCATGGAGGTGGTTACCCCCATGCTGCTGTTTTAGTAACAGTGAGTGAGTTCTCATAAGATCTGACGGTTTTATAAGGGGAGATTCCCTCTTTGCTTGGCACTACTCCTTGCTGCTGCCATGTGAAGAACAACGTGTTTGCTTCCTCTTCTGCCATGATTGTAGGTGTCCTGAGGCCTCCTAGCTCTGCAGAACTGCAAGTCAATTAAACCTCTTTGATTTATAAATTACCCAACCTCGGGTAGTTCTTCAGATCAGTGAGAGAATGGACTAATACAGCCCTCATACACAGGTCACACAAATTCTGCCCAAGGCCACATCTCTGACTGCACTCTGTAACACCTCTCCCGTCATAATGGCCTTCTCTCAGTCTCTAGGAAGTACCAGGCTGCCTTATGTAATGCCCTCTATCCTTTGCTCCTTTGCCTAAATCCTACTTATCCTTCTATTGTAATTTTAAATGTCACCTCCTAACCAAGCCTTTCTTTCAACAAGCTCACCACCATCTAAATTTTACTTCCAATTAAACACTTGTTATATTTTCTTTCATATCAGATTTTGTCATTGTGCTTATGTATTTACTTTTTAAAATAAGACTTTATTCTTCCCCGAAACTACAAGTTTCATGAGAGTAGGAATTATTTGTTTTGTTGAGTACTTTAAAAAGTGCCTGATACATAGTAATACACAAAGGCTTGTGAAAAGAATATATAAATGTAATCCTCATAACAACTTTTCTAAATGATATTCTTATCCTTCTTTTCAGACCTGGAAATTGAGGCTCAGAAAGGTGAACATCCCAAAATAAGGATCTATATCCAAATCCTATGCTCTTAAGTCCTATATTGTCTACTGAATGAAGAGAGGCTTCTCATGAAAATAAATGATGTTGGGAAAACTGGCTAGCCATATGCAGAAAACAGAAACTGGACCCCTTCCTTATACCTTATACAAATATTAACTCAAGATGGATTAAAGACTTAAACATAAGACCTAAAACCATAAAAACCCTCAAAGAAAACCTAGGCAACACCACTCAGGACGTAGGCATGGGCAAAGACTTCATGACGAAAACACCAAAAGCATTGGCAACAAAAGCCAAAATAGACATGATCAGTGGTGAAACTAGTAACACAACAAGAAGGCCAGGAATGAATTTATCAAAGATGAGTTAGAAGTTTCTGAAGCATGTTTCATACCACTTCTTATACTCTCAGAAGTAGGTATAAACCTGGGTGCAGTCCTAGACCACTTAAGAATGTGCTAGTTTAGGCCTAAAAATAATGGACATCAATAGTTTTTGTAAACACTAATGTACCCAACTTCAGACATATATTCCATTACAGTAAAAAAAGCTGTATATTTTTTACATTCAGAGATGAGTATAAAGTAAGGGTTTAATGTGTCAATCAGTAAAAAGCAAAGTATTTAGTACTGCCTTAAGGGTCACCAAGAAAAACTGTACCTTACAGCTGGAATCCAAATAATCCAAAACAGATATAAGAATGTAGAAATAGGCTGATAGCTCCTGAAAGATGACAGCAACTGGCTCCCAGCCACTCTGCCTAGAAACAGTTGCTAGGCAGCACCAGATTTGCTCACGAATACACTTTTCACCCAATAATCAGTATTATGATAACACACATGCCACCCTCCAATCAGTTTTTTGCTTCTATGTAGTTTAAAGGCAAAAGACGCTGGTAAATATTATTATGATGACTAATAGTCTCAGGGACAGTAAACTGTGCTAGGCTATTTTCTGGACAGAAAGATGAAGACCTTTGTCTTCTAGGTCTAGGAGTGCTTTAGAAAAGTCTGAAAGCAACATATTTCATTTGTTCTTAATTTATTTCAGGCTGAGTGTAAATGTTATCCAGGGACCAGAATAATGAAATAATAGAGCTGAAACTCATTCTCTTTCAAGTTCTTTTTTTGGTTCACAAAAAGCCAATACAGCAAACTATTTAATTTAAATTCATTTAAAAAATATTTTGGTAGACAGAATTTGAGAATTTGAAATACATAAAGGAAACAAAGATACAATCATTCCAGAATTTTAAAGTTTTCCTTTGTTTTATAGTTTCCTACTGCTTATCATAAATCTGAAGTTCAAATTTTTATAGACTCAAACATTTTCTTCACAAAATTGACATTATTAGATTAAAGCAAAGCTGGGGTTGCCTACCTTATTGATGATATGGATGACATAGTGTGGCAATTTTAAAAGTAATGTGCTCAACAATACAAGACATAAAAGTATGATAGTCCCTGTTCTGAATGAAGTGCTTCTGCTGCATTGACACATTTACTGGATGTACTATGTTCAACACTTCCAAAAGCAAGTATCTTTTCCTCAAATCAGCTTTTGCCATATTCCCATTTTTGCCAAAAGCACATTGCTGGTCCTTCAGACTTAAAATCTTAGACTCATAATTGCTTTTTCCACTACATATTCTCCAAAGTCTAATAGCCAAATGTTGGTTCTTATCCCTCTTGCTTTCTCTTCTACTAACCCATTCCATCTGCTAATGCTTTTCTGTATTTACTTTTTTCTATTTGCCAAAAACACCCAATCAATTACTCTATTTCTCAAGTTAAAGCTAACATTTTGAAGTTTAGAATTAAGATAATTCAATATTAGCCTCTTAGCTGCCTAACAAACTTTCTGATTCTAGCCACTCCATCCCTTTCTCAGAATTCCTGGCATGTAGTAGACACCAATATATTTATTTGTTTTCATGTAGTAGATAGCCATATGTTTATTTGCTCCTTAGAAGGAAGACACGAAATAAATATACGGATGTCTACTACATGCCAGGAATTGTTTCACCTGGAATGCCGCTAATACTTTAGTTTCTAATCAGTCTCAAATTTAGTTATCACTTTGTAATATGGACATTGAACAATATTAATTCTCCTAATCCATGAACACAAGGTATCTTTCTGTATCTTCAATTTATTTTTGTAAATGTTTTATAGCTTTCAATGTACAGATCATTCACCCCTTTAGTTAAATTTCTTCCTTTTTTTTTTGGTAACTATTATAAATTGGTTTTCTGGATTTTTTTTTAAGATATCTTGTGGTTAGTGTATAGAAATGCTATGATTTTTATATGTTGATTCTGTATCCTGCAAAATAACTGAATTTATTTTTTAGTGCAAATAGTTTTTTGGTAGAGTCTTTAGGGTTTCCTACATATGAGACTGTTGTGATATAGAAAAAACCAAAGTGTTTTTCCTACTCTCTACTTTCACACAGTCACTCAACACCTCTGACATCAGATGTGTGGAGTTTTGTTTCCTCTACATACTAAGCAATTTTCTGGCAGATGCGGTGGCAGACACCAGCTCTAATTCAGTTTAATTCTGATACTATCCAACGGGATATAGTATCAGATCCCACAGGTTAAGGGTTTGATCCTAAAAGACTGTCAAATGTTTAATGCAACTTCAGATGTCAAATGCAAACCCCAAGTTGTGGCTTGATTAGCTAGCTATAAATTGGAGTTCCAATGACCCCCGCCTTGAATTCTATTAATTTGCTGGAGCAAATTAGAGAACTTTACCTTTACTCATTTATTATAAAGAAAGGATGCAAATAGCCAGATGGAAGAGATGCAGTAAGGGAAGGTATGTGGGAAGGGGCATGAAGCTCCCACGCCCTTTCACACCATTCCATCCTCTAGAAACCTCCAGCAGCTTCCCAAACCCCACAGTTCAGGGATTTTTATGGAGGCTTCATCATGTAGGTATGAACAATTATCAACACCATTTCCAGCATCTCTTCCCTTTCCTAAGAATTGGGAACAGAGGAGTGAAAGCTCCATAGCTATAGCTTGGTCTTTCTGGTGACCATTACCCATCCAGGAGCCCACTGAGAGTTGTCTCATTAGAACGAAAGATGCTCCCATCACCCAGGAAACTACAAGGGATATTTAGGATCACCGTGTCAGGAACAAGGGTCAAAGACCAAATATTAGAACAAAGGATTCTCCTAGCACATTCTCCCCTATCACTCAGGAAATTACAAGGATTTTAGGAGCCCTGTTCCAGGGAATGGGGGCAGAGACCAATACATATATTTCTTATAATTTCACAGCCTTTACTCTGGTCTCTGGCCATGGACCTTTTACAGCAAAATGATCATATCTATGTGAGCGTTTACATTTAGTGTTACATTTATACAACAGATATACCTACCATTTGGAGAAGCCAGTGTAGGGTGGGATAGATTTAAAGAAACAATAAATTTTCCCTAAAAATCCATTATATACATTTTCATATTCTGGCACTAATTTGCTTATTCTCTTTCTCTATTGATCTGCCACTGTTTGTACCTTATGATTAATTTGTACAGACTATTTAGCATAGGAATAAGCTGATGGCTAGCTAGATCCAGGTCCTTCTCAAGTCAGTCATTTTCTATAGATATTACATCCTGAGGAGGCTTTACTTCAATCTTTCTGTACATTTGATCATCAATACAGTATTATCCTAAGACTTATTTACATGAGGCAGTTGAATTTTACCAACAGCACCTATGTTCCACCATACTGCAGGAGCAGCAGCAGAAAACCAGCAGGATTTAGCTTTTTACATTTTTTCTGGCATTGCAATTGCTGTATGTATCTACTAAATTAGAAACTTATATCTCACTAAAATGATATGTTTGAATATAGCTGGCCTGATGAATGAAAAGACATAGGATTTGATGTTCTCTGTCGCCAATGTGTCCTCCTATTTGTTCCCAATATCTAAGTTCCAATTCCAGTATTAAAAAATTTCCAGGTTAAAGCCTTTTCCCCAGTTAAAATTCAAATGCCTTAGAGACACTAAGACCTAGTCATCAATTGCTACACTCCCTCTTTGAGAAATTGAGAAGGAATTTCAGTAGATGGGTGAGAAAAAAAATCTGGAATGAATGATAGAGTACTAGTTATAAAACATTTATAAAATCTCTCTGTGTGATCTGTGATAGGTCACATA